TATCTTCTGACAGAACTTTAATCATGTTTTGCTTATTTTTATGTTTGCTTTAAAGTGTATGGGATTACTCATTTTTATTTCTAAGATAATATCAAAACAAAGAGAGATAAATGAACTTCAATACCATTATTGATATTCTTTCTGTGACTCAAATCTAGTACCTATTATTCCAAATCCAACCTGGTTAGTTTCATCGGTTATGGATTCTTATTGAAACATAGGAAAATTCATCTTGAAGTTAGCCAATAATCAATACATGATTGTATGTATTAACTGATTACTGAGTAGTGACCAATTTCATGTTTGTCTAGTCCTCAGTGTCAATCGAATTCTATTGATCAAGTTGCAATGATGCCTGTGGTCTTAATGACGTTAAAATATTATTAGAAGGGGTTTTGTGGAGACTTTTTTTAGAAGTTTCAATAGTTGAAATCATGAGTCAATTGAAGCTAGATCACCATGAAAAACCTGGAAGCACTGGACGACCGTTTCGTTCTAGTGTGGGACTCCTCAGTAGTGGGCATCCACGATCCCGCCCCCCTCGAGCTTCGAACCCAGGACCTATCAGTCTCGCGCGCGAGCGCTTAACCATTAGACCACTGAGCTGGCATCCAACTGTGTTAATGTCTAACTTCAACTAATCCAGGAAGTTGCGCCACCGTACACCATTGTCTTCAGTGAGTTGATATCTCACAACAGACCTGGTTGAACTCCACTGGTAACGGCTTCTCACTAGAACTCCAGGAAATGCCCTCGATTCCGTCACTAGTGAGCAGATGATTATTATTATACTGAGTGTATTTCGAAGTTAGTTAGTTGGAAATGGTGGGTAGGTAAGTAAGATCTTGAGTTTTGTGGTAACTGACACTCGTCAATCATACATAGTCGATACCTTAGGGTAATTGGTGTTTCTTTTAGGACTCAAACTCGTGTCATCTGGTTATGTAGTCTAAGATGGTACCACTTAGCTATTTGGGTGGTGACTGACCTGCCGTATGCTTGATGTTAATCCAATAAGTGAAAATGAGTTTAAAGTTGAACTCATCCTAATCAAATAGTCTTACTGACAAGGACCAACTAACACAAGACCTAAGTTCATAGTTTCTTGTCAACTACCTGTAATCACCAAATATCAGAACACATGCTTATTGATATTTAGTTAGGAAATCGACTACAAATAACTGAATAAATAATATTAGTCTATTTTTCATAAAGTACTCGTTCAGTCGATATGCTTTTTGAATAGCGAAAACAACAACCTTGTGTGTGTTTTTCAAATCTATCAAAAATGCAAATTGATTTTGTGAATAAGATGTAATTCGACAAATAGAATATTATGTGAAACATGAATAAATCTAATTCAATTTATTATCAGTTTTTCTAACATTGTGTCCATTATGTTGACAACAAAGTACACATATTCCATATAGTTGATTACATCATGAACCTTCTCTCTCATTGACTCTAGTTAGTTCTATTCATATGTATATACTGGTTGAACTTGTGTAACTGTGGTAAGCATTAGTGATTATTTATCGCTAGTAAAATGAATTACTTTGTGCGTGTTTCTCATCAAAACTGTTTTTGTAAAGTCACATAACTTAGAAAAAAAATTAATGCCTAACAGTGATAGATTCGAGTCTCGGAGTAAACATCAAATCTGGGATTCAGATACATCCAGCTGAACAGTTCTAAATAGGACAAAACTCGCAAACTGGATTCCACTGCCAGTCACTATCTATCTTTGCTTACAGTGCTTGTGACTTAAGGTAATATCGAGGCAATTCACACAGTATGCACATATGCCAATAAGAGATTGACCAATTGTAGTCCTAAACATCAATGGGAAGATTCAAACAAACAACACCGAACAAATTTATATTAATGCCTATATGAAACTTTTTAAATGCACCTTGAAATGGAATAAATTCAGCAGGATTATGGGTTTAAATGACTGAATAATATTAGGTTTCTAGAATTATTGAAACCAAAGAGAAATGGAAAGTTGTTTTGTTTGAATTCAGTATTCCTAACCAATACTTATTAACAATAATTGCACAAAGAATATGATTCCTAGATACCAGAATAATCAGTGAGGGTACTATTATTGGATCACTCAATTATCATCCACAAGATTTATGTTTCGAACTTTAATCAGTTCGTGGTAGTTAAATCAAATTCATTTCACATCAACCAAGTTGTTAGTATTAGTTATTTTGAAAGTTATTAACATAAGTGGAATTTTATGAAATGAATTACTTATCAATAAAGGAATTTTTTATTGAAGTTGGGTAGTGGCCAATACTAAAATCCTAGAGTCCTATCCAGAACTTTCAGTTGGATCATCCTACATTCCAATGCTGACTGGTTACGATGGGATCCGCGTGACTGTGGTAACCAATGGTTGGAGACTGCGTGATATGGCTCGGAATCGATCACAATGGCGTAAATATATACACTCTTTGCCTTCCCTTAAACCATGAGATTAAAATTACTTTATATTTTGCTTTCTACGAACTAATTCCTTCTTCTTGTACTATGTCCTTATATGCAATCTTTCTCTTATATATTACCACCACTGAATTAACTACTTCTATAAATTTGGTGTTCATCTTGTTGTAACAATGAGGTATGGCAACTTAGATCGATGCATATATGTTCCTGGTCCTGCTTTGTAGCTGACTGACTGACCAATGCTGATGTTCACTTTGGGTACTTGAACTCATTACCTCTCGCTCCAAATGCTGACAAGGTATATGATGAGGTCATGAGTTCAGATAGCCACTAGCTCGTGTAATTGGTATAAATTTTATTTATTAAGGTTTGTATTTTCTGTTTCTGATGTTTGAAATAAAAAGTACTGAACTTGAATCGCAGTGTGAATGTCAACACTGACAGATAAACATATCCATCTAACGAGTCACAGACAGGACTAAATATTCATCCTAAATTCTGTTACTAGATACTATTCAACTTTGATAAAAATTCCTGATTAAATGAGAGTATTGAGGTCATCCATCCAGGATGTACATATGCCTGTAAAGACTGCTTGATTGGAATCCTTGAAGTTGGCAACAAGAAAATATAAACCCTTGCAAGTCAAGAAAGTACGCTGTTTGAATTTTCTTCTGGTGAAAAATACCAACGCGTATAGTCTCTAACCTTTCATGATTTTCCCTCCACGAAATTCCAGTATACGTATATGCATTTTTAAACATTCGGTTAACAATATGAGTTAAGTTTCATAGGCTTTATATCACAATCTGATCTTAGTAAGACCGTCATTAAAAATCCGGAAGCACTGGACACCCATTTTGTACTAGTATGGGACTAATCACCATGGCATGTACACGACTTCACGAAGGGTTGATAAGGAATAAAAGAATTGATGAGATCATCATTCCACATGCTTATTTTCTTCTTATCCTCCCTACAATATGTTAACATGTTTACACACTACGTAGTTAATATTATAATGTAAATAAATGAAACAAGTAATATTTTCAACGTTGAATTCACGAGTGTATCAAAGCTAGACCACCATTCGAAACCTGGGAGCCTCGGACAGCAATTTCGTCCCAGTATGGAATCCTCAGCATCCATTATCTAAATAGTGTTTACATAAAATGTTTAATGCCCGATCTTGTTTATTTGAATTATCTCAATATCAAGATATCTGTATAAGATTACAAAAAATTGTGTATTTACCTATTTATTTATCAAATGGAAGTATTATTTATAATCTCTTTTGTTGTTGTTGTTGTAGGAAATTTCGCAACTAACATAAGCAAATATTCGATATTGAATTAAAGAACAAATAAGTTAGATTTCAGTACTTAAACATTTCGTTATTGAGTGATCAGATACAACGAATGAAGAATGATTTCATGTGTTACTGACTAATTTCACTTATTAATCACTGAGTAGGAACTAATGTTATAGAATATTGTAGAATTTTATTAAAACTAGAGCTTGAATAGGTAATCGGTAGCTTTACACACGGTGACAGAAGAAGATGTTTACTCGAATTTTACGGGGACCATCGATCCTGATGAATATTAGCTGGCACAAGACCTGGACTCAAGGTTTCTTGTAGTTTTCTTCAACCATTAGACAACATATGGTAGGTTAATTAAGAATGAATCTCTTAGACTAATTTCCGAATTGCGACTTGATTGACCAAAGATGATCAAAAGTTGGAACAAGGGAAAGATAAAATTGGTTATTAGATAAGTTAGTGTAAGCGTTTTCATTTCATCAAAAGATAACAAAAATAATAACACATTTTGATTCACGATCATATTAAGGCAATGTTAACAGACACAGTATTCACCCTAACTTTCAGTAAAGAAGATCTTCCAAATCAGCCTGATCTCAAGTAAATAGATTTCAAATGGAACCCTAATATAATGTCAAGCTCCAAGATTACCTCAAGCAACATAAGTAATATGATATACACTGTTTCTTAGTGTCAGCTTATCCCAGCTTAATAATTACATAAAAACACCGATAAATAAGGTTCCAGTCATTATTGAGGATTAAATAGTTCAAAAATGTGCTTATAAAGATGGAAATATTCAAGTAAAAATTCAAGTAAATTTATAACAATGTTGAAAAACAAGTGTGGTGTTTGTATGAACCAATAATTCCTCTGTAATTGATCACTGCATCATTTCGAATTACAAATACAACACGTTCATTTATGCTCACCTAGTTCTGTTCAATCGAAATTGCGTTATTTCTCCAATTCCTAGTTCCGATAATAATTCAAATACCTCCAAATATCACAACATTGTCAATTACAAATTCCATTTCAAATCAATATTCAATTCTCAATTATTTATTGAACTGTTCAATTCACAGCAAATTTCACAATCAATTCAACAAACACAAATATCAATGACTATGACGATGATCATGAACAACAACAGAGAAGCAGAAGAAGAAGAGGAAGAAGAGGAACCCAGCCAGCCACTATCACATCTTATAATTTGATTAGAATGAAACACAATAATTCACCATTCATCTTGGATACAATTTACAATCTTCACACACATAAATTATGTCATAATAATAATGATGTCTGTATACATGCAGTCGATTGCCAAATGCATCCACTTCTAATTCATAATAATAATAATAATAATAATAATAATAATAATAATAATAATAATAATAATAATAATGGGAATAAGAGTGAGAATAGAAAGCGAATACACATTTATCACTACTAATTAAATTACATTGAGAATGTGGGAGAAGACGAAATTCAACTGTTAATAAGTCGGAATGAATAAATAGTTCAATGAAGAGAAACGGTGTATGGAATGGGTGAATATCATGGTTTACGGTTGGTGGCAATAATTCGTCTATTCATCAAATTAATCCAACCTCCTAGTCAACAAGCTTGTGTGAAATATTCACTCACAGTACAATGATTTCAATGGTCTGGTGAAATCGCATGAACAGAAGTAAACTATTGGATCTGAATGTTCTTATTCGAATCAATCTTAATAATAATAATAATGATAATAATGATTGCCAAACACAATGTATTTGAACATTCCTTGTTTGACATTTTATGGTGTTAACTGTATACACCATACTAATAATGAATCAATTGAGTTTAATGAAATAATTTTGATCCAGTCATTCTGACTGTTCAGTTAGTGTTCACTGGATGATGTTGTGGACTGATGAGATATTCACTAACTGTTTGGTTAAGTATGAGTCGTATGGTGACTTGTGATGAAGTACAATTGGAAATGTATATGCTGTAATGTCAACGATTTTGAGAGTCATTTGATTGACTACAGGCATTAGGATGATGATCCAATCGTATCCTGAATATGCTCCTATTGTAATATGCTGATCATTGGGTTCTGGCTTATTAGTTTAAAATAGCTTATGGTGATGTATGGTTTGTGTTTTAGTTTGATGTTGGATAAGAAATCAAACTTGTTGTTTAGTGGTTGAAAACTATTACGGATCAGTTTTCCATTAGTACTTTGATCTGTCTGTACCCAGATCACGTTTATTAGTTTGAAGAGACCAACAACAGTGATTTGCGAAGAACAACAATAAATCACTTTATTTCTTATCAGCTGCCTACATCCTGTATTATCTCAAATAAAATACTACAAATAACGTTTAACACACATGTAAACATGAAATCAGTGAGATTTCAGTTCGAAAACGTATTATGATAGTGGTACAAACATAAAAAATGTAGTTGAATATTACAAAAATATGATGAAACACGTTTTAGAACAAGGCAATTGTAAAATATCTTACGGTTGAAATGAAGCAATTAATGGAACACAAATTAGTGCTATTTGAAAATGATATAAATTAAGTTCAATCAGTTATAACTTAAGATAATCAACTCAACAAAATGAATATGATGATGTGATAAAATGAAAGATATTTAAAGATGAAATAAATTAATGAGAGTTAAGTTATCAGGGCATAAAGATAAATTGACATCTATCCCATTTAGTTCTTATCACAGTATCCAGTTTTAATCAGTATCTCTTTCTCTTACCACCTTGAAGCATTTGGAGTTTTTTTGTAAACATTATTAGTTTAAGGGGGGGGGAAGTTGAGTCTAGTAAACAAGACTTTAAATAGCAAATAGCTTTTAGGTTTATTTAAGCAATTACTACTGGTGTTTTTTCCAGTAGAATTTAGCTTCTCTATAAAAGTATTTCATTTAACCTTTATACTCAATGTTGAATATTGATAAAATCTGTAATTAGTTACAACCTTGACCTTGTTTTAAAAAACAGTTAAACAATTGATACACTTGTTGTAGAGACTAGAAATTAAGTTGTTAAAAATGAACAATTATTTGTGAAAGACAAACAGAATTGAGTATAATAAGACATATGATAATATAAACAGGGGTTATGCAATAATTATATATATATATATTACTACTAGGGTATAGATAACAAGATATTATTGATTACTGATTCATTGTTATTAAAATCAGCCTTAGAAATAAGATGGTTAATTAATCTAGATTTTGATTGGTCTAATTAATATTCAATTTAATGTTAAAGGAATATTCCAAATGGGTTGGTTATTTACATGCATATTTTTGAATATATAGATAAGTGACATCCTATTCATAACTATTTATACTATTGAAATGAATAGGTTAATAAGTAAATATACGCTATCACTATGGGGATTTGTGGAGATTGTCATAATTTTAATGGTTAAATTCACATGACTTGATCTAAGCTATACCATAATTGAAAAACTGTAAGCCGTTATGCAAGATTATGGGTCGATTGAAATTAGACACTAACATCGTTGGATGCCGGCCCAGTGGTTTAGAAGTAAGGTGTTCGCACGCATAACCAAAGGTCCTGGGTTCGAGTTCAGAATGCAGGATCATGGATAGGCACTGCTGTGTAGTTCTGTACTAGGACAAAACGGTTTTTAATGGTTGCTTAACACAGGTCAACTCATGAATTCAACAATTAAAATTTATGTTACTTGAAGAGATCAAATTTTCGGGAAACATCCTCATCACCAGTTAACATTGATTGAAGAATTATTGGAAATCAAGTTATATTGACCAGTTGTTTCATCTTTGTTTGGGACTTTTCAGCAATTCACACTCTCTAGTTTTGATTACTCCCCCGCTTTTGTTAATTCATGATGTAAATATCTTCAAATGAAATTAATTTCCAGAAATTGGCCAAGTGAACGAAAACAAGAACCAGGAAACACTGGACAGTTGTTTCGCAATGATATGAGACTCCTCACACACACAACTTCATTATTGATTGAATGCAGGATCTCCTGGTCATATAACGAGTGCTAAACCTTTAGAATACTAAGTCAGCTTCCAATGGTTTACATTTCTAGCTTAAGTTATTTCATGATATTGCACAACCATCCTTCAATGCAGTTGGCGAATAACTGGCTCACATCTAATTTTGTTGGGCTCTACTATTAAGGGTTTCTCAATCGAACTCTGTGAATTAGTTCTTTAAACTAGTCACCAGTAACCACCAGATGGCTGAGTAATATCGCGAATTGATTTGAATTATAAATGTAACTTATTAGGTGCTGACTTGTTGATTTAAATGTTAATACCACTTCGGAAAACCTGAAGTTTCTGAAATCAATTCCAATAAAAGATCATAGAATCACACTGCCGAGGAGTCCCATACTACAAGGAAAAACTGTTCATCGTTTTCTGCTATCCAACGGTTATCTAAATAGAATTAGTTCGTAATGTGAACTAGAAAATTCAACAGTCCCCCTCAACTCCTAATACCATTATTAAGTAAAACTTTTTCCACTGAATCCATAACAATAATTCATTGAAACTGTTCTCTTCTCTTAGCTAGATGATTTCACAGCTCATAGTGTTGTAGTGACCTACTTTTATCAAGAGAACGCGATTGGTTTAATGAAAACAATTATTATTATAACCAATTGTACCAGTGATTGTTTTACTGTACTTGTTTGTTTGACCGTACAAAAGACATTCATTCTTCCGTTGATTGTGACCTTGCACGAATTCGGTTACGCTCAGTAACCACACCTGTACCCTTTTGGCACGATCTCGGTATTTTTTTGATATCACGAGATCGCCAACAAATACATTTCGACTACAGCCATCAACTGCTTTCTAATATTTGGCCTAGGGGGGTCTTATCGATCAACTGGCACGTAGTCTTCCTATAGTAGTGATCATAGCCAACCGCGACTGGACGCCACACTACATAGTAATGTACGCTACTTATGCGGACAGATATAAGTGGTTTATAACAGGTGTCAGAAGTCAAGTGCCAGTCAGCACAAGATTGAAATAAAGAGAATATGAGGAGAAACATTAAGCAATTGGAATAACAAACTAATTGGACTAGTGAAATAGTATGCACAAGAAAAACTGAAAGATGATATTACAAATAATGTATTTAATGTATAATTTTCGTATTTTACAAAGCCACTATGTAATTTTGTATAAAACAATAAACTGATTTTCGCCACCTGACTTCATATTCACTACAATGACTTCCATTATCATTTTAGGCAAAATCCTCAGTGCCTATTCAATACAGATATAAAGTGTTTTAATATCAGAAGAGGTTTTGTGGATATTATAGTAATTTTTTTAATAGTTTAGATCATGAGTCAGTTGAAGCCAGATCACCATGGAAAAGCTGGAAGTACTGGACGGCTATTTCATCCTACTACGAGACTACTCAGCAGTGCGCATCCACGATCTCGCCTCGCGAGATTCGAACCCACGACCTACCATTAGACCAATGAGCCGGCATCCAACTGTGTCAATGTCTAACTTCAACTAATCCACGAAATTGAGCGACACATTCACTATTGTCTTCAGTGAGTTACTATCTCACAACAGACCCAGTTGAACTCCATTGGTCACTGCTTCTCAAAGAATTATTTTACAAGCAATCAATGAATCTGTTCAACCAATTTTGTTTGAAATTAGTTGCCTCTTTTTGTTATAAATTTTGTTGTCTTCATATGTTATACAAATTCTTATTGACTGTTCTGTTGAGTTAACTTTCTTAATAAGACTATTCAAATTAGAGAATGTAACACTACTGTAATCATCCTCTCAATTTGTAAATCCTTGTAAGTAATGTTTTGTTTTAAAATTCAAGTATATTACGCTTTGACTTTTATTGTTATGCTACATTCTGATAGATTGATTACTTGAACAATGAATTCATTATTGTCATTTTATTAACAATATAATCATCAATAGAGAATGAAAAAATAATATATCGACCAGACAATGAAAAACACCATAGTAACAAAACAAATCAAGCTATAAATTACATTCAGATTTGCTTGTTCAGAATTTTCCGACTAGTAAATCATTCAAAAGATAATAAATAAAGTGAATATTACGTAATATTTGTGCCGTTTTAATTGTTTATAATATTAGTTATTTTATGATACAACTTAAAAACTACCATACTTGGCATGTGATTTTGATTGTGTATAGATTTGTCTTACAACTGATTTACAACTGATGGATCAATTTCATGTTTGTCTAGTCGTTTAATGTTAATTAAGGACTAGATGAATAAGAGACCTTGACATCTGAAGGAAAACACGGCATACAATGGACGGCTCACAAACAATTAAACGATTTGGACTTCACAGATGAACTAGCCCTCCTATCCAATACACACGAACGAATACAGATAAAGACAGCCAGTGTAGCAGCAGT